CACAGACTTTGAGGAAGTTCGATGCTATTTGGGTAATTGTGGATCGGCTGACCAAGTCTGTACACTTCATTCATGTGTGTACTACCTATTCTTCAGAGCGGTTGGTAGAGATCTATATTCGGGAGATTATTCGTTTGCATGGTGTCCCAGTTTCCATCATTTCAGATAGGGGCACTCAGTTTACATCACAGTTTTGGAAGTCTGTGCAGCGAGAGTTGGGTACTCAGGTTGAGTTGAGCATGGCTTTTCACCCTCAGATAGACGAGCAGTCCGAGCACAATATTCAGATATTGGAGAACATGTTGTGTGCTAGTGTCATTGATTTCGGAGGGTCATGGGATCAGTTTCTACCGCTTTCAGAGTTTGCTTATAACAACAGCTACCAGTCGAGTATTCAGATGGCTCCATATGAGGCTTTGTATGGGAGGTGGTGTAGATCTCCAGTTGGTTGGTTCTAGCCCGGTGAGGCTAGGCTATTGGGGACAGACTTGGTAGAGGATGCTTTGGAAAAGGTGAAGGTGATTCAGGAGAGGCTTCGTACAGCGCAGTTAAGGCAAAAGAGTTATGTTGACAGANTCAAAAGGATATAGCTTTAGTGAAAGTGCAGTGGAGAGGTCGGCCCGTGGAGGAGGCTACCTGGGAGACCGAGTGGGAGATGCAGAGTAGATATCCTCACATGTTTGAGGCTTCAGGTATGTTTCTTGACTCGTTCGAAGATGAACGTTTGCTTAAGTTGAGGAGGATGTGACGACCCGGCCACTCGTCTCATGAGTTACCACTGTATTTCCCCCATTTCTGCTTCTTTATGCTTTGTTCATCCGTGTTTTGTGGTATCGGGTTGGTCGGATCGAATCCAGAATGATTTTGGTAAGGTTGGAGACACTTAGTCTCTTTTGGGAAAGCTTAAATTGGAAAAGTTAACCGGATGTTGACTTATGTGTTAGAGGGCTCGGATGTGAGTTCTGATGATTCGGTTAGCTTCGGGAGGTGATTTGGGACTTAGGAGCGCGATCAAAATGAGTTTTGGAGGTTCGGATTAGATTTAGGCTTGAATTGGCGAAGTTGATATTTTGGCGATTTTCGATTGGTAGGCGCGATTTTGATAGAGGGGTCGGAATGGAATTCTAAGAGTTTCAGTAGTTCCATTGTGTCATTTGGGATGTAGGTGCAAAATTTCAGGTTATTCGGAGGTGGTTTGATTGGGTTTTTGATCAAAAGTTTAAATTATAAGATTTTGGAATACTTAGGCTTGAATCCGATGCGAATTTGGTGTTTCGATATTGTTTTGAGCGTTTTGAAGGATGGACCAAGTTTGAATAAGGTTATGGGATATGTTGGCATGTTTTGGTTGAGGTCCCGGGGGCCTCGGGTGAGTTTCGGGTGGTCAATCAGACCATTTCATGAAGTTTGGAATTGTAGAAATCTGCTCCTCAGTGTTGCAGACAAATGCCCTTTGCGTTCGCGAGAGGGGAGCCGTGGTCGCGAAGGGTTAGCTGGAGAAGGCTGAGGCCTTGACCTTCACGTTCGCGAGGGAGCCTCCATGTTCGCAAAGGTATGGGAAACGATTCATCGCGTTCACGAGGACTGCTCCACGTTCACATAGAGGAAATTGGCCAGCTGGGTTTTTGAGGTGTTTTGTTCATCGCGTTCGTGGGTGAAAGAGCGTGTTCGCGAAGGGTCAAGCTGAGGAGTCATCATGTTCGCGATAGGCATGTCACGTTTGCGTAGAGGATTTTTAGTCAAAGTCATTTTTGTGCTTCGCGAACGTGAGGCTTTGATCGTGTTCGCGAAGAAGGAATTAAGGCCTGGGCAGAATGTTTAAATACTCGTCTTGTCCGCGATTTTGGGGTTTATTTCCTCTATTGTTGGTCGTTTTTAGAGCTTTTTGAAGGGGATGGAAGAGGGATTCAAGAGGAATCGCTTGCAAGTAAAATTCTTGGATTTAAAACTCTATTCTAATGTGAATTCCACCTAAATAATCATGGAAATTAAACCAAAAATTGAAGAACTAGGGCTTGGAAATTTAGATCTTTGATTGACAATATGAAGGACCATTTGAGGTCGGATTTTAGAACTTTTAATATGTATTAACTCGTGGGGAGATAAGGAATCTATTGATATAAAAATTATCGAATTCCGAGATGTGGGCCCGGGGATCAGGTTTTTGTAATTTCGGGATTTGTGTTGTATTTTGATTATTTTCGCTTGGGCTTCGTTCTCTTAGCATATTTTGATGTCCTCGTTCTGATTTTGGATAGATTTGATGCGAGGGGGAGCCGATTCGAGGGGCAAAGGCATTGCGAGCTAGAGATTTGACCGGTTCAAGGTGAGTAATAGTTGTAAATGATGTTCTGAGGATTTGAAACCCCGAACTTGCACATCGTTGTGCTATATTGAGGTGACGCACATGCTTGATGAAGAGCGTGGGATCGTGCACTGTTGGGGATTGTGACTTAGTCTGTACCAAATGACTATTTTATTGCGTATTTGACTGAAATCTATTTGCTATATCATGATTTGGGCTGAATGCCATATTTGGGCCTTGTGCCAACTATTTAAACCCCTCAGGGATTTTTACTGGTATTTCCTCACTGTTTTGACTTTACATTTGAACTCAGTCATTTTATATTTCACTATTTTCGTACTCAGCCATGTTTACTATGTTTTAAATACTTAAATGATCTTTTAAATGATAATTGGGCTGAGAATCATTGTTTTAATGTTGCCTGTTGGCTTTTGAGGATTTTGACTGAGTAAGGCCGAGGGACTATGTCATGAAGAAACATTTGATACTGATTATGAGGCCGAGGGCCTGAGATATGTACGCCATGAGGTGGCTTGATTGATATGAGGATGAGGGTCTAGGGATGATGCCACGAGGTGGCTTGATGTTGCGCTAGGGTCGTAAGGGGCCCCTCCAGGAGTCTGTACACCCCCAGTGAGTCGGGTACCCATTGTGATGTGAGATTGAGCCCGAGGGGCTGGTATGGTTCTATGTGATTGCCCGAGGGACTGGTATTGTTCTGAGATATTGCCCGAGGGGCGGATTTGTTGATACTGTGCCCGAGGAACGAACCTTTATGTGTTTATTTTTCATAATTGACTGTCAATTACCTGCTTAATTGTTGAAAAAGGCTTTTCAGGAAGTTAAATTTGAGTTAAAGGATTTTTACCTATCTTTCACTGATTTACTGTTTTAAAAGGGTTTTTACTGCTTCATTATAGCATGTTTTTATGCCTTATGTGATTTCCTGCTTTCAGTCTTTATTTATGATTATTACTCACTGAGTTGGAGTACTCACTCTAATCCTTGCACCCTGTGTGTAGATTCTGACGTATCTGGTCCCGCTCCTGAGTGCTGATCATTCCGGCTCAGGCGGATCCGAGGAGTCTCTACGTAGCTGTTGGTGTTCGCGGCCCGGAGCTCTTCCCTATCATATTCCTTTCTATTCTTAGTTTCTGTATTAAACTTTGTAGTTATATATATTTGGAGTATTCCATTTTATTAGATGTTCATGACTAGTGATACCCCGGTATCGGACTGTGTTGGGTTGTTTTCCATGAATTATGCTATTAACTGCTTAAACCTTGGTTTATTTGATCATGCTTAGACTGTTTCTTAACACATAACTGTTAAATAATTGGAAATGGAAGTGTCGGCTGGCCTTGTCTTCACAAGAGACGCTATCACGACCGAATACGGGTTAGGGTCGTGACAAAAACTACAAAGAAAAAGAGAAGCGATATAAATCCTATATATATATATATATATATATATCCATTTTTGAAAAGTCAAAGAGGTGTTAGCTTGGCACCCTATTATTGGATCTTCTTCAGACGTTTATATCTTTTTATCCGGATGTCGTATGAATGAACGATTAAGAGTGTTAGAAACTACATTCCAAGATCTTAAATTTGGTATATAATATGTCCTAAAAAGACCTCATATAACACACGAATATCATAAGACAAAAATAACTCATAACATAACCTCATTATCATTTTGAGCACCCAAGTCTTACCCCTAAAGTACAAGTTATAACATTCCCAATTTGTTGACTTTCAACGAAACTTATTTTCTTCAATTGGTTTAGCTTCTAAGCCTTCCAACCCTCTTGGTACTTATAGTCCATGATCTTAAATATTTGTAACCTCCGACTTAACATGATTAACTTACTTTATGTACTTTCAAAGATAATCTTATTTCAGAGTTTACATCAATTGACTTATGGCGTACTCTCACATATGAATTTATGGGGTGTAATAATGGTTTCCATTTATTTACTTTGAATATAAAACTAAAAAGGCAATTTAAAAGTCATTTAATATGTCTAACAAAAGATAAAAGTAAGTAATAACTCAAAATGGTAAGAAAATATATGCATTTAAAAAGCTAAGCGTGATTTTCCTTCCTAAGCTAAAACATATATTTGAGTTGGAAAAATATGAACGCCAAGTCAAGACGGAATGCCGACTCGAGATAGAACTTTGAAAAATATGCTAACTTATATTTGAGTTAGCTAAAACATATATTTGAGTTGGATAAATATGCTAACTTATAATATATATTTTGGATATGAAAACAGAACTTTTGTCAAGTTTAATCGAGATCAACAATGGAAATCCCTAAATTGGGAGAAGAAGAGGGAGAGAAAAATAGAGCACATACAAGCTCTGTATATTGATGAGCAGAATGAAAATGTTCTGAATTAAGTAACAGTTGTACAACCACTAACTACTTATAAGAAAAGGTAATAGTGTTAACTAACTCCTAACAATATCTAAACATAATTAACTGACTCTCTAACAGCTGTTTACAATTATACCCTCAACTAAGTAACACCTTCTTCTACACTCCTCCTCAAGCTAGTAGGTGCAAAGATGTTCAGCACTCCCAGCTTGCCGGTAAAGTATTCATGTTGTACCCTGCTCAATCATTTCATCAAAATGTCTGCTACCTGATCCTTTGATCCAACATGTTGTGCTTTCACTAGGCCCAATTATATCTTCTCTCTAATAAAATGACAGTCTATTTCAATATGTTTGGTTCTCTCGTGATATATTGTATTTGAAACTATTTGTAAAGCTGTCTTATTATCAGAAAACAGATCAAATGGTAATGCAACATCTACTTCCAACTCCTTCAATAGAGCAGTCAACCAAACAACTTCTGAAACTGCACTTGACATGCTTATGTACTCTGCTTCTGCTGAACATTTAGAAATTATGCTTTGTTTCTTCGACTTCCATGATACTAATGAATCCACATACTTGATTAAAAATCCTGAAACTGATATTCTTGTATTTAGATAAGAGGCCCAGTCTGTATCACAATATACAGTGAGTGTATTATATCCTTTACTGGTGAATAAAATTCCTTAACAGGGTCTCTTTTGATGTATCTTGCTACTCTCATGGCTGCATCCCAATGGGATTTCTTTGGTTGTTGTAAAAACTGACTCAGTGTCTGTACAGTATAAGCAATGTCTATCCTTGTCAAAGTGAGATACAGCAATTTCCTATCAGCCTTTGATACTGATTTCTACCTACAAGAACATGATCATCTTTTTTCTCTATCAGTTTATCATACTCTTGTACTGTCAACTTTACATTAACTTCCAATGGTGTCCATGATGATTTTGCATCTCCTAGGCCTAGATCAGATATAATCTCCAGTGCATATTTCCTTTGATTCACTAGAATGAATTTGTTTGGCCTGCTGAATTCCATTCCTAGGAAAAATTTCAACTCTCCCAAGTCTTTAATTTTGAAAGCTTTGTGCAATGACTCCTTTGTGTCTTGTATCATCTTCAGGTTGTTCCCAGTAACTAACATGTTATCTACATAGACAAGTACCACCACTACACTGCTTCCCTCTTTTCTGATAAATAGGAAGTGATCAAGACTACTCTGATTGAAGCCTAATTGCAGTAATGCCTCTATGAGTTTCAAGTTCCATTATCTGCTGACTTGTTTTAATTCATATAGGGATTTGATAAGTCTGCATACTATCTTGGACTCCCCCTGACTTGAAAATCCTTGAGGTAATTCCATATACACCTCATTATGAATATCACCCTACGAGAAGACATTATACACATATAACTGATGGATATGCCAAGCTTGCATAGCAGCTAAAGAAAGAATTATTCTAACAGTGATAATTTTTGCCAGAGGTGAAAATGTCTCATGATAATCAAGACCTTCAGTTTGACTAAATCATTTGCCCATTAATATGGCCTTAAACCTTTCAACCTCCCCATCAGCCTTGAGTTCCACCATATACACCTATCTGCACCCAATTGGTGTTTTCCCGAGTGGTAAAGGAACAAACTCTCAAGTATCGTTGTCTTGTAGAGATTGGATCTCAACATTCATAGAATCAACCCATCGACTATCATTAGAGGCTTCATGAAAAGATTTAGGTTCTGATGTAGCTAATAGAGCAACTAAATAGGCTTGGTACGGGCTGGACAACTGATTGTAAGACATATAATGGGACATGGAGTATGGCTATTTAGTAGAAGTTGTAGTCACATAATCTGTTAATCATAAAGGTTGTTTGGTGGCTCTTTGAGATCTTCTAAGAGAAGTATCCTTTTCAACTGATAGAAATGCTAAGATCTCCTCAAAGTTATTGTCACACCTCCTTTTTCCGCCCCCGCGAGGGGTGCAAGGGAGTTTTTTCCAATTAAAGGACAATCGAAACGGGATTTATTTATTTATTTCAGAGTCGCCACTTGGGAGATTTAGGGTGTCCCAAGTCACCAATTTAATCCCGAATCGAGGAAAAGAATGACTCTGTATTACAGTCTGCGAACCA